CATAAGATTAAATTGTAATGTTTAGACATCGATAATTATGATTTTGTACATTTTTGGATTCAGTTCAAAAGTAAAATAACAAAAATACCGAGCTCCAATAAAAATTCAAAACGGAAAGTACCTTATCAGATGACAAAATCAAAATCTCAAACACATCAAACATATGGAAAAAAAATGTCATATGCCTTACTTTGCACTGACATTTCCGTACGTAGAAAACTCTGGATTAAACCAGCTTTTGTAGCCAGCAAAAACTCTCACTTTTATGACAGTCGCATTGTTGAATAATAATCAAACATAATGTTTAAACTACATCAGTTATGGCAAGTGTCAAAGTTTTTTCTTTAAACAAAAATTCGCAATCATAATCTACTTTTATTTTAATATTCAATTTCAAATTTGTTTGGTAATAGAAATGTAAAACCATGATATAGTGAATTTGAACATAGACAGCTGAACAAACTGAAAATGTCGATTTCATTTTTCAATTCTGTCAAAAGATCGTTTGTCAATGTTATATTTTTTTTCAGAAGAAGACGATGAAGTCAATTCGTTAACAGGTTTGTACATGATTGTTCAGTTGTTAAGGTCCTCATCCCCATTATAGTATCACCTTAATGTTTAGAAATCGGCATGAGTTAAAACCACAATTTTGTGACATCTGCATTATCATTTTATACAATACCTGAATGAGTACAAAACACGTTGTAGCAGTTTATTCAAATATTCTGTATTACCTGCAATAAATATAGCTATTATTAAAGCTATTCTCCTAAAATATTCTGCAGTTCTCATTTTAATTCTAGTATTGTTTGTGAAATCCGTTTGACTTATCAAAGAGATTTAAATGTTAAGGGTTAAAATGAATTTGAACATAGACAGCTGTAAAAATTGAAAAATGTTTAATATTATTTTTCATGTCTTTTAAAAGATTTTGTGTCATCGTACAATTCCTCCAACTAATTTTCGTAATAATAACGTTGTTTTTATTTGCTTGTTTTTTTAATTTTTTTTTAATTTTTTTTGCGTTAGACGCCCACTTTTTTAATAGATTTGTATTTTCTTCGCATTATGTCTCTTACTTTTGACCTGTGTAAGCACTTGGGTATCTTTTATGAATTTCTTTCGAGTTTATCTTCAAAGATGTTGTTTAAATTGCTTTTTGTACTCTTCTGTAAAGTGTAGGGCGTATTTGCCACTGAACGTATATACAGTTTGTTTCAAGACTAAACGCTCATCAATCTTCAAAAAAGAAAAGAAAAACATTCAATTCCGACGGCTACTTAGATCGTACATAATGTATAATAAACCAATTAACTTAATATCAAATGATATTTTGTTATCACCATTTAGAGCCTAATTGGGTCCTTGATTTCAACAAAGTTTTGAAAAAGTCAGACAAAATATTCATTTAAGAATCATAGGTTACAAACACATACTTACTGTTGCAATTATGTTATTATAGATAATGCAGTTTCCCATAAAAACTCTTTTTTGCGGCTAAAACTGTTCCACTTTTACTATTAAGTTTAGTAAAAAAAAAGTACGTAACCAGATTACAATAAATATTATACATCTCCCCAAAAAAAAAACGTGGCTTGTGAAACAGCTGTATGTACAAAGTGCAACCTATACTAACATGTATTCAAATAGAAAAATCTTGAAAAAAAATTTTCTCACAATAATACCCTGAAAGAAATCGCTGCATATACTCTCACATTTCTTTTCCAGTACATTTTTTACCCCAACCCCTGTTTCAAATTTTAAAGAATTTGAATCAAGACTTTAATCATTGTCAGCTTACCCTATGTGCATGTTTTCTGACATGAAATATCAAGAACCTGTTTGAAACTATTCTGATAACAAACTGAAAACATTTCAGAATAATGTAAATGTAAAGTTTAGTCACTCCAACATGCAAGCTTATATAAAGTATTCAAGCCTACCTCTGTCTCAAGTTCATACCTTACTGTATGCCTATTTGTCAATAAAAGTTCACAATGTCTGCCTCAGATGATCAGTTTAAAAATCTTGTCACAACAATATCATCTCTAAACATATATTTCACATAGTTTAGCTAATATATTAACTAGAAAAAAAGGAGTGTTTAAACAAAGCCATATTTGCAAAAGTTGTACATGTGTATGTATGAAGTTAGCAGTCTGATGTAAGAATTAAAAAAAAAAGATTTACCGAAATGACTTCTGACATCTGTTTGTATTGTATAACTTCCAAGCACAGTTATTGTACTCTATATAAAAGCCCTTATAGGTAATACAATCATAGCATTTACTGGTTAAATTATCTGTTTTATGACAGTTGGGATAGGCATTTTTCTCTGATTTTGCCACTTGGGCCTCAAATTTGCTACATTATTCTGCTGTTTCTGTGAATATGAAATATTTCGTACATATTTAGGATAGAACACACTATTGTTAGTTTTATTGAGGTATTTTTTTGTATTTCTAGCTTGTATTTTTTATGCCGCTGTCACAAAAAAAGCACATTTAGGTGATTCGACTTACTTTTGGGTTATCGACAGGACAAAATCACCCCAACAAACTATGCATACTGTAAACTATGAGTTTATGCTGCGTCATATCATCAAACTTAAGGCCCAGGATTTTCTTAATCTTCATAAAATATTTATAAAACTTTATGTTTGAGTTAATTTCATTAAAATCTCTGAAATAAACCAGATTTGGTGGAATTATTTATGTTTTCTTTTTCACCCAATATACATGAAGGTTGCTCTTCTGTTAATATAGATGATACAATTTCCCATATGAACTCCCTTTGCGACTAAAAATGTGCCACTTTGAGTAAGAGTTTTCGTGGAAAAATATATATTTTCGTCATTTCTACGCCCCGAACCTCTTCAGTATTCAATATTCGCCGCTACCATGTGTTTTTATACTTGTAATATTTCCAAGTTATGTCTATATGAGATGTAACATAGAGATCATATTTGGGAACAAGCACGTAAACAAAACAAAATATCTACGAATCTACCGAACAAGTGAAAAGCAAATTATCCGAGGATAAACATGATAAAGTTTGAAATAATAAAAAAATAAGGTTCCAAATCTAATCCCAAAATTAACGTAATGCAGATTGAGCTATTCTGTGAGTGTCCCCCTTTAGCTACATATTGTAAAGTTTTTATATATTTTTGGTATTCATTACGTTTTGTTTGCGCATTCCCGATGAGGAAATTCTAGAAAAGTGCATCGGACGCACCTGATTTATTAAGTGTCAATTGTTTTTTTAGCAATGGCTGAAAACTCCTGGTATCGGACTGGATATCTAATAGTGTATTATCATTTGTTCTCCCACTCACATGACTCAATATTTTGAAAATTTGGTGACTATGTTAAACGCATCTATCCCATCAAACTTGAGATAAAGGATACAACAGATACAGTTAAGTCAGCCTCATTTCTTGACTAACATCTAGAAATTTGCAGTGGGGGTCGGTTGAAAACAAAACTTTATACGGAGTATATATGTCCCAGTTAATACGATATTCCAGGGCTTGTATTTCCTATCATAATTTTATCGATAGAGGGTTGCTGCTCACAAGAAGCTATTAAACCAAGAATTTCAAGTAGTGAAGATGAAATCATCCCTTTGTAAGTTTTATGGACGCCATCACTGGTTGACCGTTATTGAATATTCGATGATAGCGGATATGTTCCTAGTGTCGTAACTACAATCCTGTTTTCTCTTCCCGAATGTGACCAACCGAATTACTTATTACCGGGTTTGTACTAAAATAAGCAACACGACGGTTTGTCACATGTGTAGCAGGATCTCCTATCCTTCTGGAGCACCTGAGATCATCCCAAGTTTTTGGTGGGGTTCGTGTTGCTAAGTCTTTAGTAGTCTGTGTTGTGTTCTGTGTACTATTGTTTATCTGATGGTCTTTTTTAAGCCATTGAGTCGTCTGGTTTTTGTTCGACTTATGATTTCGAATGTCCCTCTGGTGTCTTTCGACTCTTTTTTAGCTCATTCGTCGGTGATTCGGTACTGGTATCATATATAACAAATCCTTTATTATATATACCGTTATTTTCAAGCATTGTTGAATAACAATGAATAAGGTGTGTTTCTTTAGTTCCCATTTGATGAAAATCCTCGTCAACTATTCACGAATTGACACATTCTTGGGTTTTGAGCATCTCTGATGTAGTTTAAACTAGAAAAGCGCATCGAAAATTCAATGTTAACAGTTGATATGTTCAGATTTATTACTTGTTATACTCGTTTTTATATCTTTGTTTGTGATTGTCTACTTAATTTGATCAACATCAAATTAAAACAATGTTTTGCAACATTGACCCATGTATGTAGGTTTTATATCATTTTATTGTAATGCATGCATAAGTTTATAGCCATCACTTTATTCTAACTATAAATAACTATTTATTCGATATTTGCTTTCCTTTTTACATTTTGGTTTTGCTCTGATCATGATAGTTTCAGAGCAGTTTGGGGTTGCTGACATGCATTTGTAAAATAAAAAATGTTTGTAAAATCCAGGCTTAACTTTTTATCATAATCATGATGATATTATTCTGATTAGTCAGATTTGCAGAGATGTCCACAGTTCAGAAAACGTCTCAAACAATTATTCAACGTTTGACTTCTGTGAATACTTTTATCATTAGTCGGAAATGTAAGTATGCAAATTACTGTTTATCGATTACTTTTATCTCGAACCGGAAATTTGCAAGAATCTTCAAGTTCTTCTCGCCAAGGGCATATTTGGAAAAAAAACGTTAAACTATATATGGCATAAACATTTGCGAGCAGGCTACAATTCTTAGCAATATCTTAACATTAGGACTGCAAACAAAACATGTCGCTAGTTGACAGACAAATTGAATTGGTCAACCCAGGCTCAAATTCCAAAATGTCATAAAACAGGTGCGCCGACAGAGTAAGTGTTTTTGCCATGCAAGTATACAAATTCAATGAGACCAAAAGACGGCTTCAAATTTGTCATTCCTTCATAAACAGACGTTACGCTATGGTAATGAAACTGTAGTTCAAATGCAGAAAATTAAACTAAACCTTGAATGTAAAGTATATGAGACATTTTTTTTCTGATCAGGTGATTACATGATTACTGATAACATCGACGAAACAACGCAAAGTATGAATGTGACAAACATAAGTGACGGTAGGTAGAAATCAACCGTTATTTGCTTATGAAAAATAATTGTAGGTTACATAAACTGTTGGACAATTTGTGTGCTTCATTGCATTTAAAAAAAAATGTTATATGCATTGCAAGCAAATTTAGAATATTCAACCTTTTTTTTCAAAAACATAGATAAAAACGAATGGATCGTTTTAAAATCATTCTCAAAACAAGATATCTAAACGTGTCCAGATGATTTTGATTATACATTTGCTGGTTATCATACTTTCCATCAATTCTCTTACAGATATACATTGTTTGCGTATGAATAGTTACATGTATTTGACGACAAAGTTAATCATATTTTTTTATGATTGGTTTATATTCTAATGTAACAGTCGAGGCAAATAGGAAATTGCATAATATTATGAAATATCCTAATTTAACACATTATTATGAAACTTCATAATATTAGATAATCGGCTAATTTTGTAACTATATTATGGGATTTCGTAATTCATAAAGTTATGGAAATACATAAGATAAGAAAAATTTTATAATTTTAAATATTTTTTTCGGTCGTTTTTTGGGCCCCGTGACTAATTTTGGGAAATTTCTAGAAAAAAAAAGTTATTTTTGAGTGGCGTTTATACCAGGTCATAATGAACAACTGTCAGATTTTCATCGACACGCCTTAATTTCTCCCGACACCACCCTCTTTGTTTGTTGTAAATAATTTAACAAAGGGAGACAACTAGTATCGGTTTAAAATACAACTTGCGGTTATAGTTCTTTGATAAATCGATCTTTTTATTGCTAATCTAAGGTTGAAGATGTGTTTTTGCTATATTTCTAATCTAATTTGCATGTGATTTACAGCTGCATATTTCATGTTCATTGTTGAAATCTTGAATTATCTAGTTTAAGACGTTTGAAATGAATATATTTGAAATAAATTTTAAAGGTTTATCTAAACAATTGTCTGTTGTCATATGCATGTTGAAACAATAAAATATCAAAACACCAAATAAAATATTATCTATCAAAGTTTATTTAATGCATAACGATGTATTTGTTAACTAAAATAATGCCAAATAACAAAATTATTTAACAACTAAAATCATATGTCTGATCTTAATTTTGTAAATAGCGATATTTTCTTTACCGCGTGTAGAAACTTTATATTTCTTTTAATTTTAGAATTATTTTTTAAATATTTTACAGTGTTCTTTTGTTGATTTAGGTACTATTAATTGGATCATGGAAGTATTATATTGTCAATAAACTACTTCCATGATCGATAATTATGATAATATTAAATCGTAAGATACGGCATTCAAGTGCATAACGATGTATCATGGTTTATTTTCATCACTGCTGTCAAGATATGTAGCGTGTACGACATGTAATAACATCTCATCTTGGTATGATTCAACCACAAAAGTTACTGTTTACAAAAGAAACGATTGTAGAAAATTTATGTTGTAAAAAGGAGTATTTGTTTTAATAACAAACATTTGTACATATTTTTAACGAAACTATTGCTATATTACGCACACGTTTTGATTTAAATGATTCATTAAGTTTTGAATATTTTATAATTAAAAACTTTTTTATTGAATTTAAATTTTATGTTTTTTTATTTAATTTGAAAGTGGTGTTTTGTAAATATCTGCATTTGCATGTCCGTCTGCCTGTTTGTGATTTAGTTAAGAAAGAGAGCATAAAAATCAGACAAACTCATTATAATAAATATACATAAGAATAAAGGAATACTTGTATCACAATTATACACAAATTAAGAAATATTTTTGTATCAGAAAATTATATAAATATAACGTGAAAATTGATATGGAATAGAACAATTTTAATTGAAAGACTACGCTTTCGATAATTTTAATTTACAGGGAAGTGGCAAAGTAGGGAAGAGCAACAAAAAAGTTCATACAATTGCGAAACTCTCGAGTCAAGTAGACAAAACGATCTTTCGGCTTCAAAATGATTTAAAAAAATAGTGCTGTTTTACGAAATCGTTTATCGAATTTCAGTATATGATAAAGTTTCTTTAATTGACAATAATATGGGGATTTTGAACTTCAATCTAGTAAGGTGATTATTTAAGATGCTTGCGTAGAAAATTTTTATAGACTACATAATTATGATAATAAGAAATCGTCATATTATACATTTATTTCAATATGGTAGTTTGTAAAGATCTAACCAATCTTTCACAATGCTCAAACAAGCGCTTAATTTGGAAGTGTTTTTTTTCGGCTACATTAACAGGGACCCCAAAGGGTGACTGGGGGATAGAAGTATGGTCACGTAGTCTTCTTTCGACCGGCAGTAAAACGCTTGACAAAGTCCTTTTGGCTGTGCGGGATGTACGTATTTGCAGTCACATCCAGTCAGAATGGGGACGTTAAGTCTGATGCCTCATGTAAAGAGAGTGTAACGCTATCAGTAAGTTAAGAACCCTTAAAACAACTCTTTGAGGGGTCCGTAGGTGGCCTGTTGCAAGGCAAAATTTCTGTCCCTATCCAAAATACTCTCATTTTAAAGTGCCAGTCCAAATTTCCCCGACCTTCATCCTGGATGGCCACTTATACAAGACCTGCCTATTGTATTTATTGTTAACTTGTTCTTGTCCTAAACATGCATTAAATATTTTTCGCTGGACGTTAAGCAACGAAAAATCAATCAATCAATACTTACCAGTTTATATATATATATAAAATTGAGAATGGAAATGGGGAATGTGTCAAAGAGACAACAACCCGACCATAGAACAGACAACAGCAGAAGGTCACCAACAGGTCTTCAATGCAGCGAGAAATTCCCGCACCCGGAGGCGTCCTTCAGCTGGCCCCTAAACAAATATATATACTAGTTATATATATATATTATATATAAAGGTTTATTCTTCTCCTCATTGTTATGCAATGATATGTGCATAACACTCGGCATTTTACGTTGCAGTAAGTACACAGGGTGGTTAATTTTAATATATGTACCTTTCTTTATTTACAACAGCTTATTCCCTTAAATCTAACATAAGAAATAGAAAGAAAAAATAATGTTTGCGTTATATCGCACAGGTTTGCCTTATTTCGCAAATGTTTGCGTTAGTTCGCAAAGGTTCGCATTATACGCAATTGTTTGTGTTATTTCGCAAAGGTTTGCATTATAACGCAAACATTAGGAGACATATAAGAAAACAAATGTATGGGACTTTTACGTTTCCGTAAAGTAACGACAAAAACGAAGTTAAATCTTAAATGACATTGCCTGTTTATCTATTTTTATTCATGGGTAGATCAAAACATTTTTTTTAAGACTCATTGTTAAAGGCCATACGGTGACTGTTAGTTCTTATCCTCTACGTATTTTGGTCTATAGTGGACTGTTGTCTCATTGGCAGTCTTACAGCATTTTCGTTTTATAGTTATTATATGAATATCTTTCGACAAAACCGTATTAATATATAATAGATATCTACCCAGTATATAATACTGCTTCCTGTTTGTTTTCATTAGAAATACGAGATTGCAAGTGTCGTCCGTATCATACTTATTTATTATGACATTCTTCTATTGAGTATTTATACCTTGTTATGAATCCAGGAGTTTCGTACATATTGTGCCGAATGTAGGTTTATAATTTATTATAATTACTTACCATACACCACTAGATCGGTATAAACATTGTTTTACCTTTTTAGTTTAATGTTATTTCTATTTCTTTCGAATGTAAAATGGTAGAGAGAAAAACAGTTGATGAAACCCATTTGAAGAACGTATACAGGATGTACAATGATATATTAAAATGTCTATAGAAGTTGGATCTTTGAACGTGTAGTTGCATATACATTGTACACAAAGATACTGTTAAATGAAATTAGATATCCTGCATTTATCATGCTTTTCAATTATATATGGTCGAATCGCAGAAAGATCCCTCCTTTAAAGTATTGACAACTACAAATCTGCATTGACAATAATATATTGGTGTACATTAGATACACCCATTTGGACTAACGCCCTCAAGGTGTATATAAAACAAACAAGTATAAATTAATGTCTACAGAAATGGAAATAATACATGTACATGTTACTGTGCGTATTGCTTTTTGTTTCTTTATTCTACATTGGTTAGAGGTATAGGGGAAGGGTTGAGATCACACAAAACATTTTTAACCCGGCCGCATTTTTGCGCCTGTCCCAAGTCAGGAGCCTCTGGCCTTTGTTAGTCTAGTATGTTTTTTTAATTTTAGTTCACTTATATGTTTTGGAGTTTAGTTTGATGTCCATTTTCACTGAACTAGCACACAATTTTAGTTAGGAGCCAGCTGAGGACCACCTCCGGGTGCGGGATTTTCTGCATTGAAGACCTATTGGTGGCCTTCGGCTGTTGTCTGCACTTTGGTCGGGTTGTTGTCTCTTTGACATATTCCCCATTTTCATTCTCATTTTTATATGTAACACATGGTTAGAAGATGTCAGGAATTATGTACAATTGATCCATAATAGCTTAATATTCGATGAAGTTGAAATTAAAATTGCGAAAAAAAAGACAGATGTCAAATGATAAGTTGAACAGTCACAATAGTCAGAAAAATAAAAATATAACTATGATGAATATAAACAATAATAAAATATTGATACAAACAATATTTTCTCTTAATTCAAAAACGATAAAATCCATAGATCATGTGTTTATATTCTACATTATGAGTAAACAGGACATCTGAAAACATACCATATAGCTTTGATTTATCGAAAAATACAAGATTGTGCATTATGTTTTTTAATACATACTGGGAACCTGTCTACAATCTAAATTATGCAAGAAAAAAGAAGCATAACAAAAAAGCAGCGTATTTGTTAACGAATGATAATCTTCTGAATATACGACATTCTTCATAATCTATATTATAATCTAATCAGATTTAGGAGACACACTCATGTAGAAAAACGTTCTGTATGATAAGCTTGCCATTATAGCATAATACTTAGCTACATTATTAGAAACAGATGTTT